GAATGGTTTGACGGTGGGCAGGGGAAGGAGCGAAGAGAGAACTCTGGCAACATGTTGCCCCTTGGCTGGCGGTCGGACATGACACATTGTTGTTCGCATGAAGCATAACTTGGTCAACAAGGCAGCGAAGCGATCTCCAGAGAGATGATGCCACAAGTTGATGATGCAGATGATGAAGCCTGCGGCTGGATGCAGCAGATGAGAGCAGAACCGGCTGCTGAAACGAACACTGAAAGAAATTTTAGGGAAATATTTTAGATGGGTTTCGATTATGGGAATTATATTTCCTGCTGGTTAGTTATTGGCCCACTTTTCTTTGCAGTGTCAAACATATTTCCGAGATCGCCGCAATAGATACGATTCCTTAACACCATCCTGGTCTTGGGGCCTCAAAGTTGCTGTCGCTGATGTTGCTAAGAGCATAGTGTTGTTAGCCAAGGCTCGGCCGGGCAACGTCTTTGACTAATTTTCCACTTGTTTCCTTTTTCTTTTTAGCGGTGGTTTCGTATTACCGTTCTTACAGCAGCAGCCGAAGAGCGAGACCCGGTCAAGGTCTCATCTGCCCCAAAGTGTCTCTTTAGCCAATTCCCATTGAGGCCGAGCATTTCATTGAGCAACCAGTCTGTGGCATGGCATTCCACAGACAGAGTGGACTCTACACTGGCATTGCCATTGCATTTCCTGTCGCATGCGCCATATAAATTAGTTTTCCATGTTCACTTGTCACTTGTATCGGAGCAGACCAGACCAGAACCCGACCAGCTCTTGTGAACCCGTTTGTTGGCCTCCGGTCATTGCGGGTGTCCATTCCACTTAGAATCGAAATCCCTTATCACTAGACGACTCTTAGGAGTCGTCGCCATAGTCGTGGTCGTTGCCGCCGCTTGCAGAATTTGCAATCAATTTTGGCCAAGAAGCCAACTAATTGCTTTTACATTTTATTTATTTATAGGGGCTCCACCACACGCACCAACGACACCACGAGACCCCGAGCCCCACTGATAGCTGCTTTTGGCCTTAATTTAGCCTCACCTCCCCCTGCTATAATGATTACGCTAATCAGAGCAACTAGTTAGCTAAATGTCCAACTAATTCCAATTGGTAAAAAGTGCGCTACCCTCAAACACTTTTACTTGCTTATCGCCAGGGTCTTAAATTAGGTTCTCCTTCAAAGAATTTCCCTGAAAAATTATGGAAATTATCGGAGTGACAAATTGTTTTTTGGTTTGGTGGAAAGTCTCGCCTTATCAGGGCCCAACATTGCCTTCCCCCGACTTTCCATTCCAATCGCTTTTGCTGGCGCTGTCGCACGTTTCCGTAGCGGCTATCACGCACAAGGTCACCGGTTCGAAACCGGCCGGGAAGAAGCCTGAATCATTTTTTTTTTTCAATGTCAATCCTTCATTTGCTTACATTAACATTCGTTTTTAATATCATTTTAATGAGCCTCATTTTATGATCATTTCAGGAGTGTGCTCTGCTGGTATTTATAAACATTTCGATATTTAACTGTTTTACGACTTGCATGTCAGAATCACAGAGCATGACTCCCTGCGGGACTCCCTGTTATTTTTATGGCATTTATTTTTGTGGGCCCACCCAAAGAAGTGAAGGCTGAGTGGAAATAGAAAGTACTTCTATATATTGAAAAAAGTGCTCGTAAATTGTACTCGAAGTGAAGCAAAAGAAAAGCTTCTTGTGAAAAGCTTTTGCTTCGCACGAAAAAATGCACAAATAGTTGCAAAAGCTCAGAGCGCTCGCTTAGCAAGTGACAGGTAAGGGGATCGATGCCCCGCATCACCAGGATTTATTTTTTTGTCCCTTTTTCTGTCATGGAATTTCTTTTTTCTTTCATTTTCTGCTCATAAGTAATGAATTTTAGCTAGGCTATGTATGCGCCTGTATATGTACATATATCATATTATACCCAAAGTCCGCCGTCTGCCTTTTTGATTGACATGCTCTCCCATCGTCCTCGACATTTGGTGTCCAATTATTTAGTAAATAGAATATCATGCCGGTTACAACTCCATTTCACACGCTTTTCCCAAGTGACTTCCCGATGCCCAGCCAGTTATGCAATCGAGTTTTGGCTCTGGTTCTCTGTAGCTACATGTAGCTCTTTAGCTCTTGTCTCTCCATTTCCATTTCCCGGCTGTGCAGACATTGCAGCTAATCCAATTACGTATCATTCATCATGTTCACGCAATGCAGGCCATGAACTAGAAATGCAACTGAAACCCATCCCCGGGACGGGACGGGACGGAACGGACACCCAGGCCCAGGAAGCGGGTGGATCAGATGAGAAGCCAGAGATTCTGCAGCAAGAACGGGAACGGGAAAGTTTTGACATTTCCGTCATGTTTCGGATGATTGAAATCTGTTTAATTAAATTGAAGTTTGGAATGCGTTAATTTTCTGAAAGTTATTTGATATGAATGCCTGATTCCTTAGATAATCCCCTGATCTGTGATATTTTTCTCTATATGCATCTGGTCATTTCGAATATTCATTAATAATAAAACAATCTAATCTTTGGCCGCCACTTGACTTTTGTTATGGCAATGGCATTGGCATTGAATGGCAATTGCCTGCAACTGAATAGATTGGGTGTGCGGCTGCAGCTGTTGGGATACCCACACGATCGGATGTGATTGTGGATCGGCATGAATCAGAGGTATAATGCGGTGTGTATTCTCCATACGTCACGTAGACCTGTGGGCTGCAAGTTCCCCAAAACCCGAATGACATTTTGTGCGAAATCAAAACCAAGGCGGAACGTGTGAGACGCATCGTACGCGTCACAACTTTTATATCAGGTACTCAATCAGCATACATACACATGCTGATTGAGTACCGGGTATAAAATTGTTCATATGTTTGTAAATAGATATGTCTATATGTAACATCTTGTTTTTTCGAATTTTATATTTACATTTTTTCTACATCACTTTTCACGAAATTTTGAAGTACATTTGTGACAGTGTGATATCACATGACTCTTCACACAAATTTAGGTGACTTATAGTATCTTCTATATAGACTCTTATAGTCTCTTATATCCGGACGCTGATTATTTATTTATTATCAAGGCGTACGGACAGATGGACAAACAGTCATAGGCTCTGCTATTGATGCTGATCAAGAAATTGTATACTTTATGCGATCGGAAACGTTTTCTTCTGTGCGTAACGCACATTGCTCCGACTACAAATACAATATACCCAATAGGGTATAGTACCGGGTATAACAAAATCAAATAAACAGCAAAGCGAGTTGACTGTGCTGCATACGTAGGCGAAAAAGTGAGGATGTTATGAGGTAGTCGTATTGGGAATACCCTAATATAATGCAGAAGAGCTATTACTAGTTGCATATCACCCCCTCTCAACACCCTCTTCTACTCTTGTTTAATGTTTTAATCCATTTAATGTCGCTTGGGATTTACTGAACTCTTTTTCGATTGCATGGCAGATTATAGCAGCGAATTACCCGACTAATGACGAAAGATAGACACTAACGAAAGACCTACCTTCGATGTATGCATGTGTGTGTGTGTGTGTGTGTGTGTGTGTGTGTGTGTGTGGTGTGAGTGTAGGAGCAAACCGGTGCTACTCTCTCATGAATCTAGTGAACTCTTCTAATCAACCGAAGCAATTGTTGGCAATTAAACAGGTAGACGAAGAGGAGAGCGAGCACGAAATGGTTTGACAATGATGAGAGCGAGCTGGGTGACGTGTCGGAGAGCGCGCTACAACCGACGTCATCGGCCATCTCTTTTATGCTTACGCCAGCTTTATGATCGTTTCGTTTTTATGTTGCCAAGAGAGCTTTTCGTTTGGGTTTCGTTTTCACTTTTATTCTTTTTCGGCTGCTGTGTGTGAAGTGTTAGGCAGGGGGAAGGGGAGTGGCGTGTTTGGGTGGCTTATGGGGAGGGAGCCTCGTGTTTCGTCTATTCATGCGAAAAATCAACCAGAACCAGGCAGCGTATGAATGAATATGAAATGTGGGAAGAAATGAGGCGAACGGCAGCCAGCAATTTCGCCATTTCAAGGCCTACGTGACTTGTCTCACACACATGGAAATTGGCTGCGGCTGCGACTGCGGTTCTGGCAGACAGACAGACGGACGGTCTCGTCTCTGGGTGCAGAGTCCCCGTTATTTGAGCGTAAACTAGCTCAATTCGCATTTATTATTTAATCGTCTCTCTGGGATCTGTCTCACCCTCTAGCTCTCTTTCTGGCCACATGATCTGTGCGATTTTGGCACGTGCTGGCCGTGCTGGGTATTACGACAGAGAAAAAGGTCTTTGACTGTTGTCAACTGATTCCAACAAGACCGAGAGGGAGTACGAGACGAAGGCAGTGAGCCGACGAGCTAGCTGTTATCTCGTTTCCACCTGTTTGACAGCATAATGATGACAATCGGAACAAAACGGTAATTTAGGGAAATTTCCAGTGGCTCCATAAAATCAAAGATAAGGTATTTTTTCGAATATTTTGAGTTTATTTACATCAGAGCTTTTTTCAGTTTTCTCTTCACTTACGATAGTTGCACCTCTCTCTTTTCAGTCTTAAATTATAAATACGAGAAATATTAAACTCTATTTTTGTGTAGTTGTATCTGGTAGCTCGTATGCTTAAAGATCAGGAACTTTATCTTTTCTTTTGTGTGGTTGATCCGTCATCTCGCTCTCCCTTCATAGGATGAATCTTTGCAGTACCATCAGCGGCAGGAACAGCAGACAGAGGCTGTAAAGTTTATTTAGAATATTTTAGTGGAAATTGTGGGGGGATCAAGGACTTAAGATATGTCATAAACCATGCCAAAATAAATAAATAAATGAGTGAACTGTGATAAATTTCGTAAAAATTTATTTCAACGTGCAAAATGCCATGCAGAAAAAAAGAAAATACAATGCTACTACTCTTACCACTCTTCAATCTATAATAAAAAAAATTCTCTTGATTTTTTTTTTTATTAATGTATTTTTAATTTTATTTTATTTTGTTTAGTTATTTGTTTGCATTGCTTTGCTTTCTCATGCTCTTTTCTCGTTCTACTCACTTAGATGGAAACGTTTTTTAAGTATAACAAAGATCTGTTAGTGCTAAGGAAACTTAATCTAGTAGTCTATAAATAAATAGTATTTGCAAAAAATAAATAACTCAATTATACAGAGAACTACGGACTATAATTTCGCGCTTATCTCTGGCCGATCGATCGATTCGAAAATAAATATAAATTACATACATATTAGTTCGTTCTGCTCAAAATGTTTATAAATAAAAATACATTTCACGTGATTTGTGAGTTTTTCTGTTTAATCGTTTTTCTCTTACTAAAACTTAAGGTATAAAACCGTGTGTGTTTCTATGTACAAGAAGGTTCTCCTCAATATATTCGAAATGTTCTGCGCTTCGATAACATCGACTACCAACGATTAAAATGGTTTTAGGGCGCACTCTTTGCAATTTATCGTTGTGGCCAATGTGGTCGTATTTTTGAGTATTTTTTCGTCGATCTTCGAGAGACTCAAGTTGTTCAATAGACTTTTTTTATTAGAACTAGTGTTATGGCCTGCGATTATATGTACATATGCAATACATATCTGTTCTGTGTTGTTGTCGGATTGGCGTTACATTTTAATCATACATTTCGATGGTAATTCTAATCCAATGTTTTGGGGCGTTCTTATAAAATACTCGAGACTCCGTCGTAATACATTTTGATATTCATCATGTGTGTGTGTCTGGGGATCATCGCTGGGGGGACAATGGTCCGCTGCATCAAAAATACTTTAGTGAACCACAGATCTTGGGTGGATATATGATATATCATACACATATGATGGATGGTAAAAGGGTAGGTGTTCGGTGTGATGATTATGATGACGATGATAGTGTTGTGATTGGAAACTTGCAAATTAGAATATTGTTCGCATACTCTTGGTGACAACTTTGTACACTGAATTGTTCTTAAATTTTTGTCTCACTTTTATATTGTAAATTCCTTCCACACTTTGTACTTTTTTTTAATATTAATATTCTCTTCCTTTTGCCAAACCAAAAATTAAAAATTTTAAATTTTCCAACATAAACGAATACCAAAAATATGATTTTAATGAAAACAAAAACCAAAAAAATAAAATTTAGTTTTAAATAAAAAATTTAAAAATGTTTTGTTGCAAATAGTACAAAATGTGAGAGATAATAATTAAAATTAATGCCAATCAGAAAAGGTTTGTAATAAAATTTAGAAAATTTTTAGTTTTAAATTTTAAGAAAAGTTTGTTTTTAGTTCCAATTTGTAGGTGGATTATAAATGTGAGAGGGGTAGAAGTCAAAAATTTTGAATGTGGAAGGGGAAACTCACAAATCGTAGTACAGCGAATCATCGCTGGCTGCTGCGGCGCTGCCACTGCGCGCATGTGCCTCGGATGTGGCATCCTCGTAGCTGGCATCCTCCAGGGATCCCTCGTCCTCGTCGAGCTCCTCCTCGATGCTGCTCATGCGGACATTTCGTTCCACGCGATCGCTGGTTTCGCTCAGCGCCATCGACGGCAGCGGCGAGCTGCTCTCCCAGTGGATGTCCGAGGGCGTAACCAGGCTGGTGGCCATAGTCGTGGTGGTGCTGGGACGTTGCTTGCGCTGCTTGCCAATATTCAATGCTGCGCCTCTGGCCTGCTGCTTCTTGCCACTCATCGCACGCTGCTTGCCGCCCTTTGGCGGCTTCTTTTTGCCGCCCGCTGCCTGGCCATTTGACGCTCGTGGCCGCTGATGGACGGCCTTGGGCTGGGGCAGGGACAAGGATGCTTCAGCTGCACTCTTTTTTGCACCATTCTTCTTGCCACAGTTGGGTGGCGGACCACCCTCTGCCGCCGCCTTTTCCCGCAGCTCCTTGCAACGCTGGGCCTTGGGGCCGCGCTTTCTCAGAGCTCCAGCGCCAGCGCCAGCACCGCCCGCGGGTCGCTTTTGGCAATTGTGAAGCTCCTCGCTTTCGTGGAGTTTGCATTTGCGCAGTTTCTTCTTTTTGCTCTGCTTCGGATGCAGATGCGCAGGAGGAGGATGTAAGGGACTACTGCTATTGCTATTGCTATTGCTACTACTATTGCTAGTACTATTACTAGTGCTAGTACTAATGGTACTGCTAATATGGCCGCTCTCGCTTTGACTACTGTTACTAATACTAATCAGGCTGCCGGCACTAGCCGCAGGCGCAGGAACTGTAAGGCTACTTCCATTATTACCAGCAGTAGTAGCAGCACTCGCACTGCTTCCACTACTACTCGTGCTACTTCCATTACTGCTACTGCCACTACCACTACTACTACTACTACTACTACTACTACACTCTGGTGGCTTCTTAAAGTTTGCCGCATCAATCAGTTCAATCAGCGGCTTGCCAGTATCACAGAGTTGCCGTACGCCATGCTTGATGCGATTTGCCCCAAAATTCTTGGCTATCAACTGCTCCACACGTTCCTGCGGCACCGTCTCCGTGATGGCATTCGTGTAGGTGGTCAGCTTCCCCAAAGAACGGCTGGCCGGAATCTGTGTTCGACGCGGCTCGCCGTGCCGATTCAGGGCCAAATAGTAAACCCTGCGGGGATTCGAGTTGTAGGTGGAGGAGTACGTGTTGTAGTTCTGCAGGCCCATGTTCTCGTTGAAGACACAGTCGTCGGTAAAGTCTTTCTGCAACAAATCGGAGAGCTATCATTAAATGATTTGGCTACAATAATTATGGAGTACAAGTAAGGAAAGAACCGAGGCCAGGCAAAACTTAAAAACTAAACAATAGTCTTGGAAAAGTAATTGAAAGATATATCAAAATATATTGATCGAAAAATGACGGAAGGATATCGAAAACGATCGAAAACTAGTCAAAACGTATTTGAAAACTATCAAAACGTGTCTATGGATATCGAAAAGTGATCGAAATTGATCGAAAGGACCAAAAAGTGCACAAAAAATATCGGAAAGTTATCTTTTATGGTTCTTGGGCTTCTGCAGAAGCCATGTGCACCAAATGGAACCAATTTTAAACCCTTTGGGGTTTGCTGACTCCAAAAAAAAGGTCACTTCAAAGCAATGCATTCACGGGAATCATTACTCAAACGAAACCCATTATTTGAATCACCACAAAAGTTGTCCCTGGCGGCGGTGTCTATTCTCTTCTTTTGTCTATCGGAATGTGAAATCACTGAGATAAATGCGCTCATTATCACAGGATGTGCTCCCTATCGGTGTTGGCCATCCAGATAGCCATCGATAGCCTGGCCTCTGACCATAAACATTTCTACTTTATGAATGCAACATGACAGCCAGCGCCGGCACACAAAGGATAACAACAACAGCAACAACAACAAAACAGCAGTCGAAATAAGTCGAATAGAATATTCCAAATCCAACATAGAAGGAGTGAAATTTTCACATTCCGTTTTAGGTAGAAATGTAAATTTCACGACCAAAAGGGAAAGGACGGCCTTTGGAGATGTGCCGACGACTGGCAGACGGGCAGACGGGCAGAAGATCAAATTCAATTAACAACATTGAATTAATTCGCTTGTCAGGCAATTAAAATTGTTTCGTAAATAAAATGGCAAACAAAGGGGAGGGAAAGGTACCAGCAAAATGTCGCTGCTTAAATTTAGAAATTAATCAGCCAAGAGTCAAGAGCGAGACGCGATCCAATCTGATATGAAATGAGGCATCAAATGAGGCAAGCAGGAGAGCAGACCCCAAAGATTGAGAGACAAAATGTTGACGCCATCAACAAACGTTTTTGAGTTGTGTTTTCCTTTTTGAGTTTGAGTTTGGGGTTGGAGGTTGAGGTCGTGCCGCGACGAGGCACATTTTTGTGACATATGTGACAACATTATCGGGGCTGGCTGCCCCAAGACTCACTTCTCTTTCACTAGTTCTTTGTGTGGCACAGCACAGTCTTTTATGTTATTTCCTAGCATTTCGATTTATTTTTAGTTTTTAATGTCTTGCAAGTGACAATTTTTGCAGACACCAAAGGGAAAAGGAAATGAAGTTGTACTTTGATAAAGAAAAAAGAACACACACAAAAAGAGGAGAAAAGTCGAAAAGATATCCGGAGAGCCATTAGCTCTAAGACACCTCTCTATTGGCGCCAGGGCCAAGGGTCAACCGTTTTTTTTTTTCTCTCTCTCTTTAGATTAAAAATACACAGAAAAAACACCTACAAGCGGAACCTCTTAGAGCATCATCAGCGCCGCGTGACTCGTTCCAAAAAGGTCGTGAGATATCGCCTCTAAACAGGACAATAAGCATGATAATGATGCAACATATTCATTGGTCACCGGTGGGCACCCCATTAATTGGACTCCACAGAAAACAGAAAACAGAAAAAACCCTAACAGCGTGTGGTCTGCCCGGAGAACAAATTATGCAAATTAATAAGCCAAAAACTGTATTTATATGAACAACATTTTAATTGGTGACTCAGTCGGGGCTCGGATGGATGAGGGGTCTGAGAATTTATGAATTGGCAAACCATTCGGGTGGGGTGGGGACTTCAATTAGCTGGCAAATCACCTGCCAACAGTCACGAGATTGTGGCCTGAAATATTTTAAATATTATAACAAAATGTTGTCACGCGCTCGTCGCAAATCCATTTGCTAGAGTAATTTCTGTATAAATAGAAATACAGGAAAGGAAAGGAAAGAAAAGAAAAGGCAAGAAAGAGACTTAGTCTCGAGAGTAAATCACAACCAAAAGTTGTAATAAAAAAGTGTAAATTATTTGTCTGTCTGTCTGTCTGAATGTGCTTCGCTGGCGCAGGCCGGACGCAGGGGTCGCCAAAATAAACAATAAGAGCCGCCGCCGCCGCCGCCGCCGCCCACTTGACCAACTTTCGAAGATATGCTGGCGGGGCGGGCGCCTTCAAAGGGCTGCACAGCCGACGCTGGTGAAGCGCATCAATCAACACCCCAGCAGAACACCACAAAGTATCTTACAGATACAACACGAATGCGCCTACTCTGCGTTTCGGCTGACAGAATTGGCACAGTCGCTGCTATTTCGAATGCGAAAAAGGTCAAAGTGCCATGCGACATCGACAGCGGAAAGCAATGAAAGAAATTCAAACCGAAAAACCAGAAAAACCAAAAACTAAAAACACTAAAAACTAATGTCGACCGAAATGCAATCATTGTTGCCTGGCGCCAGACCAAAAAAGAGGCATCGATGTTCAGCCGAGAGCGTCACAGCGGGATAAAGTGTCACATTAATTGTGGCCAGGCAGAAAGGACCCTCCAAAAGGACGACCGATATCACTTGGCACTTGGAAGGGAAGGTTCTCCTTGCCACTCTGCTCTCCGCTCTGGTGCTCCTGATCGTGTTGCTTTGTTTTTGTTCACATTTAATTTTTTATTTATTGACTGGCAAGAGGGCGAGATCTTGTTTTCTTTTGTGCGTTTTTGTCTCGGGGTTGGCCTCAATCTTTTAACAGTTGCTTTGTTGTGTAATTTTTTGGATGGGGGGGGGGGGGGGGGGGGGGGGAAACACAGACGGAGTCGTAAACAGAAAGAGAAGAGTTATAGGAGGTAGAGTAAACTCAAGTGCCAGCAGAACAGCTACTCACTACATGCAAG